AAATATGGGTTGTTCAAAAATGCCCTTTATCAGATTGAGGAAGTTGCTTTCTATTCTAACTTTATGGAGTGTTTTGATCATGAAAGGGTGTTTCACCCTGTGTGTGTGTGTGTGTGTGTGTGTGTGTGTGTGTGTGTGTGTATGTGTATGTGTATCTGTTTTGGGTTTTGTCCTTTATTCTATATAGCATATTACATCAATTATTTTCTTTTCTTTCCTTTTTTTTGTTTGTTTGTTTGTTGTTTTTTGAGACAGAGTCTCGCTCTGTCACCCAGGCTGGAGTGCAGTGGTGTGATCTCGGCTCACTGCGACCTCCGCCTCATGGGTTCAAGCGACTCTCTTGCCTCAGCCTCCTGAGTAGCTAGGATTACAGGTATGCACCAGCATACCCGGCTAATTTTTGTATTTTTAGTAGTGATGGGGTTTCACCATGTTGGTCCAGCTGGTTTCAAAGCAGGGTATATTGGAGAACCTGAAGGAAATCCATTATTTCAGATGCAAGGACAGTGAGGGGGCCCGAGGTACAAGCTAAGGCTGGGGGATGTGGGCTAGAGAGGCTTCTTGGTGGTAATTAATGTCTCAGAGAAGGAAAGGAAAGGGATAAGCTTTGGACCAATCCCATCTCTACTCTAAATATAAAAAATTATCTTGGCCGGGCGCTGTGGCTCACGCTTGTAATCCCAGCACTTTGGGAGGCCGAGGCGGGTGGATCATGAGGTCAAGAGATCGAGACCATCCTGGTCAACATGGTGAAACCCTGTCTCTACTAAAAATACAAAAATTAGCCGGGCATGGTGGTGCACGCCTGTAGTCCCAGCTACTCGGGAGGCTGAGGCAGGAGAATTGCTTGAACCCGGGAGGCGGAGGTTGCGGTGAGCCGAGATCGCGCCATTGCACTCCAGCCTGGGTAAAAAGAGCGAAACTCTGTCTCAAAAAAAAAAAAAAAAAACTTATCTGGACGTGGTGGTGCATCCTAGCTACTCAGGAGACTGGGCAAGAGAATCACTTGAATCTATATATAGACAAGGAAACAGGTTAAGTGACTTGTCCAATGTGATACAGCTAAAAAGTGACAGCAGGGGTTCAAACCCATTCTCCTTAACTTCACAAATGAGTATGGTTCTCCAATTCATGCTTCATTCAGCGAACAGAGTGAGTGTTTAAAAATGCAGATTGTAAAGGCCAGGCAAGGTGGCTCATGCCTGTAATTCTAGCACTTTGGGAAGCCAGAGTGGGAAGATGGCTGGCTTGAGCCCAGGAATTCAAGATCAGCTTGGGCAATATAGTGAGACCTTGTCTCTTACAAAAAAAAAAAAAAAAAAAAATTAGCCAAGTGTGATGTCTCATGCCTGCAGTGCCAACTACTCAGGAAGCTGAGGTGGGAGAATTGCTTGAGCCCAGGAGGTTGAGGCTGCAGTCAGCTATGATCACGCCACTGCACTCCAGCCTGGGCAACAGAGCTTTTATTAAGATATAAATGGAAATATGTGTTTTAAAAATATGATGGATTGATGAATGGGTAGAAATTTGGATAGATGGATAGTTGTATGATGAAGCAAATCATAGTAAAATGTGAACTGGGGAGTCTACGGGGTAGCTCTATGGATGTTTGAAACTTTTCATGTAAAATATTTGGAGAGAAGTGGCTGAATAGAAGAAAAATAAATGAAATTAAATCATAAGAATCTGTAGAGTAATAGAAGAATGGCTGTCTCCTCCTGGTAAACAGGTTTTTATGCACTGTACTTAGAGACTTCTCGTACCTGCAACCCAGGGCATCCTAGACTGTCCAGTAATGAAAAAGAATGTGAGGCCGGGCGCGGTGGCTCAAGCCTGTAATCCCAGCACTTTGGGAGGCCGAGGCGGGTGGATCACGAGGTCAAGAGATCGAGACCATCCTGGTCAACATGGTGATACCCCGTCTCTACTAAAAATACAAAAAATTAGCTGGGCATGGTGGCGCGTGCCTGTAATCCCAGCTACTCAGGAGGCTGAGGCAGG